GCATAAGTTGCTAAGAATCAAACGCACAAGCTCGTGTGTAGGAAAATCCTGAAAGGCAGGAGCAGGAGCAGTGCTGCCTGACTGGTGTCGAGTGGCTTTGAAAACTGTGTTGTAAAAGCTGCTTATCACACATAGATATCTGTATACTCACTCAGCTTGACTCACCCACTCCAAAACAGCAGTATCACCCACAGCTGCAAAGAAATCATGACAAAGTGAGCTGTAATCTTGGGCTTTTCTTTCTATATTCAACATTACTTAGCAGTAAGCACTTGTCCAGCTTTAGTTTGGAGCTTTATCTTAGGAAATGAGAGAGACACTGAGAAGTTTGGGGTAAGATCTATGTTATCCCATCAAATTGCCCTTGTGGATTACACAGCAGAGATTTGGTAGTTTGCACCAGTAGATTAGATCTGTCCTGTAGGATGATTCCCATGCATTCATGTCAAATGTGCCAAATGGGGATCCCTTTGCAGGTACAGTTTTCCTTTCATGCCTTTTTCATGTGTAAATCCATAACAAGCAAACATGTAGGTACTTAAATTGCTAACTACAATGCTGACTGCAAAACCTCTAAGGGTGCAAGTACCGGATTTTTTTCTGGAAACTCCTTTAGCAGGTGAAAACAATGCCTGAAAAATTAGAAAACTTGAACCTCTCTGCAAGTTTATGCCACATGTCACTGACAGTAGCCACAGAAGCACATTAAGGTATTGTTTTCTGCAAATAGCAGCATCTAAAATCTGTGCTTTCTATGCTGGACAGGAGAAAGTATTTTGGGATTGAATATGCCCCTTCCTGTCACCTTGTAAGTTGAATGGCTTGTCAGTTTGGATGTCTTAACGCGGTTACACTTCTAAAGTAGCTCACTGGCAAGTCTTGCATCTTTATCAGGATTCTCATAATACTTTGTGTTTTCCTTAAGGACCTGTTTCCCAGTGTCACAAAATCCTGCCAAAACTTCAGTTTTCATCTACAAAGTGCATTTTCTCTTTGGTATTGTAGAGAAGGGCTGGAAAGTAAGACTGGAATGAAGCTCAGGTATGAAAGAAAGGGCAAATAAAAAAAGTTTTAAATTATTTTAAAGCCAGTGTCATAATTTTTGAGCAGGAAGTGACTTATGGCTTTTAGTCATTCAGATTTGTAATTTAAAGAACAAAAGAAACCATTACAACTGCCAGAAGAGCATAGCAAACCAAGGAGAGTACTGAACCTCAAACAAACATTTTCACTGCTGAACCCGCCTCCTTCAAACAAGTGCTTCTCAGCCAAAATGGAATGGGATCAGTTTAAACTAGAAAATAACTATCAAAATTAATAAAAGTCAAGTTTTATTGGAAAATCACACCTGGAGGAGATGGTTTAACAAACTTACTGACAAATTTAGCAGGAAAAACTCGCCACTGGCTACATCAACATAAAAGCTAATTGTACTGGCTTTTCACCTTTGAAGCGCAAAGCCAGAGATCTGCTTGCAGTATTTAAGTCAGGAATATTCCTGGAGCTTTCAGATGCTGCTGCCTTCTCAACACGATTTGACTGATGAGAACAAGACAGGTAGCAATTGTGGTTCTATTGCAAAATTCTTTATCTGTAAGTTTATGGGCAGAACTGGAATTTGATGAATTTCAGGTCATGACACAAAGGCATGTCTTTCCCTTCATTCTGGCTTTTAGAAACATACTGTCCAACAACAGGCAATTTGATTTGTATGTTCTATTCTTGATTTAGCCAACTCATTCTGACGGCCAGAGATTTTATGAAAAACAAGTTTTCCCACAATCTTTTGATTTCTGTGTGTCATGGTAACCAATGGCACTAAATAACAACACTGTCTAAACACTTTTGGGACCAGCTTGTAGCTATGGACAAGGGCCAACATAACAGTGAGAGGAAGTTTTGCAAGGACAATTTAGCAACAGATAACACAAAAGATGTCCTTGAAACAAAGGAAAATAACCAAAACAGGTGCAACAGCAGTTACTGAAAGACAGGCCTCTGAGTGCTCTGCATGCAAAGAAGAGCAGAATAAAGAAGGTACAAGAAGGCCAAAGCCTACAGGCATTGCTCAGCTAAAAATTGCTCCAGTAAGTTGGATATCTTTTCTGCCTCAGAAAGTGAAGATTCAGTCCTACAGTAATGCAGTGTATTTCTCACATAGACTGAGCTGAAGTTAAAGAGAACATGTTGAGGTTCCTGGCCAAGCATGGGTTCCCGTCTGGATAGTGGCTGTTGTCTCACCCCTGCTCTGGGAAGACGGCCTTATTTCATGAGCACATGCCTTGAATTTTCCTCAGCCATGTTTCATGAAGGGTGATACTGCTTGAATCTTGAATGACACTGATACTTTCCCCTCCTGCCTAGCAATATTGTGATATTGGTATGAATTACATAGCTATTTTTGGACAAAGTGAAATTTCAGGACTGTGAGACAGGCATTGAGGGTCCCTCTCTCCCCTCCATCATCCTTGCTCCAAAACTGATCTGGGGAGCAGACCCTGGAAACTTCTGGCCACTGGTGGTAGCTGCAGCGTCCTGGCACTCCGGATGATGCAGCAAAAGCCAACAAGTGCCATCTGGGAGGACAGCAAGCACTTTCCGTGGTCAAAAGTTGACACACAAAGGAGAAGTCAGACTCTTGTTTTTGCAGTAAAATGGGAACTGTGGTGAGTGAAGCCACATCACGGTGTTAGCTGGTGGCTGAACAGCACAGCATCGTCAGCTTAACAGGTGTGCCAACTATCCTTGCTCCAAAACTGATCTGGGGAGCAGACCCTGGAAACTTCTGGCCACTGGTGGTAGCTGCAGCGTCCTGGCACTCCGGATGATGCAGCAAAAGCCAACAAGTGCCATCTGGGAGGACAGCAAGCACTTTCCGTGGTCAAAAGTTGACACACAAAGGAGAAGTCAGACTCTTGTTTTTGCAGTAAAATGGGAACTGTGGTGAGTGAAGCCACATCACGGTGTTAGCTGGTGGCTGAACAGCACAGCATCGTCAGCTTAACAGGTCAGTGCCAACTACACAATAGCTCAAAACAGGTCCAGCATTCTTCTGAAAATTTAGAAAGTAAAGTATGGAAATGAAAACTTTTCTGCAAAGTGATGATACTGTAATCCATTATCAAAAAGCACTTTGGTGGCAAGTACTAGAGATAAGGCACCTGCTTGTTATCTGAATCTGAGAGGCACCTGGGAACGACAGGAAAGAGCAGAGAGTTACTCACATACCTTTTTATAATTAAAGGGATAATGATTTGATCTGGAATTAATGTTTGGAAGCAAGTTGTGTGGCTAGGGAAGCACTTTAGAATTCACACCTTCAAGTACTTGATTGCTGTAGAGGAGCCTGCTTTTTTGGCATGCAGCATATATTTCGTGTATAAAGAAATACAGAACAGTTTGACCTTGAAGCAATTAATCTCTTCTGAGGCACACGGGTTTTGAATGGACGTAGACATAATTAGAGTTTTTAAATTACACAAGGCATGCTCAATCTTTCCATCAGTGTATAGCTGGAAGAAAATGTAGGAAGGATCTCTGGGGGAGAGGAAAGGACTCCTACTTTCCAGAAAAAGTATATCCCATGTTTGGGAAGAGGGGGATCCTTTGAATCTCAGCTCTCCTCAGTTTATTGCAATTTGATATAAGACACTGGACATGAGTAAGGAGAAAGCTGCTGATAGTGTCTTATTCTTGCATCACCTATCACAGATTTAGCAAAAGGAGAGCTAGATATCAGCCATAGTGCCACTGTTGAATTTATAGAAGGATTTGGAATTAACATCTTTACCTTTTCCCGAGAATTTTTCTATCCACTGTATTTACCAAAGGGAAATTTAAAAATACCTCACATAAAGCTATTTGCCTTGTTCAGAAACCAGTATCATTTAGAATTGTATAACTAGTACAATAATAACCAAAGAAAGGAGCGTCCTGTCATAAACCTAGCATGGAAAAACTCCAGGAGTTCATCACCTTCTCAGACATCCACATAATTCAGGACTAAGTAGGCTGATACCAATGGCATGAAATAAGGAGCAGAAAACAAGATCAGAATTGTACCCTGATGAACTACAGAGAAGCTAGTGAAGAAATGCTTGTCTATATGAATTTACTTTCACTTAATGTCAGATAATAAGAAGAGAAAAATCCTCACCATTTTTTAGGATTTTTTTTCCTCTCCCCCTTAAAACACCTTGGCTGTTCATTAGTTATTTTGGATATTTTTAGTAAGTGTTATAATTAATATCAAAATGTAATTCAAATTCTAACTGCTCTTTCAGCAGCTTACAACTTTTCAGACCAATTTCTTACTTCTTAAAAGGACATGGTCAGGTACTTCTCTTTGGCATTTAAATTGCAAAGTTATTTTTTTTTATGGATTATAATCCAGTAAAGAATGTAATTTGATTTATCAGCACTGACTTCAGACTTACTCTAAGTGGGGACTGTGTTTTATACCACACACATAACAGGCTTGCCTTGATTCCAAATGCAGGTTTAAAATAAAATAAATGCTAAGATTAAAAACAGGATATTGCCGATAAATAAATACTAATTGAAATCAATAGAGCCAGATTAATTTTCATCAAATCAAGATCCAGACCATACTCTGAAGAGCCATAAATGGGAAAATAAATAGGCACCAACATTTTCTCCCCAAAACTACCTTTCTGAGAGTAATCACAGTACCTGAACGCCCTTAATCTAATCATTCACTGGAGGTAAGTGCTCATAATAAACAGTAGGTGTTTCCCTGAGGGCCATGATAGTTTGCATAATGTGCTAGCTATTTATTTTCCAGTGTTATGGTGACAGAAAACTGTAACAGTACAGTTAATTCTAATTTCATAAATGTCTTTTGCTAACGAGAGATTTTGTTTAAGTTCTGAGTTTCAGAGGTTAAAAAAATACAGCACCACCAGTACAGTCACTGCTGTTACATATGATCCAATTCCTTTTTCTTTAATTAACTTTTGTATGTTCTAATCTACTTACAGATGGAGACACCGAGAGCCCCACAGCTGGAGCAGATGTGGCTGTTATTGGAGGTAAGTAGCAGACCATACTAAGCAGCACCATTAGAATTAAAACAGCGGGTTGGTTGATTTCTTGCATTTTGCAAAACCCCTACTTTGCTGACAAGACAACAGGAGTGGCACAATTAGAGTTAATTAGGCCAGTGGGAAATCTGCTCCCAGAGGGGCTATTGGCAAGATAACAAGATGAGATAATGAGCATAAACCATATAGTGAGCAGCACCACCCCCATCCGTTCCTCATTTTAGGACAAAATACCTAAGAGTCCAGCAGCAAAGTCAACCTCTGATATTCTTTATTATTCATTGGGCCATGATTGTCATTTAATACAAAACTGGTGTAGCACCCTTGATTTGAGCCATGCTAGCTCATACCAGCTGACCCTTTATTTTTACAGAATATATCATGGTGCATTTCCTGGTGTTCCATTAAAGCTCTCTCATGCATTTAAACTAAATACAGTTGTCAGAATAAATGAGCAAAGCTATGTTCACGGAGAGAACCTGTCTTTTTATTTTTATTGTGTTTGTTCATTTCCATGATAACGCACTAATTTCAGTCATTCACTAGGGGGTATACCAATCATTAGTGCAAATTGGTGAGGTTCTGCTATATTTCCCTCAGGTCCCATCCCCCGTAACTTTAATTTCAGCTTTCTATGAACAAGTAGCAGGTGAATTGATTTGTACTTAGTCCCTTGGGCTTATTAATATTGTGCTACATCCAAAGCCTATTAAAGCCTCTTGTGTCAAGGGAAACCAGTGAGGTCCTAAAAATTGATGAAGCCCCCACTGCAACTAACATATTATTGTAAATCTGAAGTTCTTTGTATAAGCAATTTCATTTCTGCTAGCAGTAACTTCACTTTCCAGAACCAGGCACGATAAAATCTGCAGGATAACGTTGCAGGCATATTTTTCAAGACAGAGTTATCATTTTTATTTAACCTGTTAATGTCTGTTCATTCCCCTGTTTTCATGTCAACAGAGGATCCCCACTCAGTTTACTGATGCTGATAAATCTAAAGCTTTGGAGATACCCACTCCTGCCACATATCTTGAACACAGGGGACAGAAGAGACATACTTTCTACATACCCCTCATTGTCTCTGCAGAATAGTAGGCATTTCCAGGGAGCGATTCATCTGACCAAATGTAGGAATTCAGTTCTAGAAGAGAAATCACCCACCCACACACCATCCACTGATGGTAGAGGAATCATAGAATCATACAATACCAGGTTGGCAGGGACCTCAAGGATCATCTGGTCCAACCTTTCTTGGGAGAAACATGATCTAGACAAGATGGCCCAGCACCCTGTCCAGCTGAATCTTAAAAGCATCCAATGTTGGGGAAAGCCCAAGGGGAGTAACTCAGATGGAGCCTCCTGAGCTGTAGATGCCTACAATGAGTCAGATTAATTCCTACCTATTGCATCCTCACAGCAGCTTCACACTCCACATATGGGATTTTCCTAGGAATGTCCTTTTCTGGTGCTTGTTATTGTGTACTTCTTTAATGTTTGGTTTACTCCTGGAATCATGTGAATATAGAATCAGCTCAGTACCATGTACTTGTACAGAATCACAGCTAAAGAGTTTATAAGCACATCCCAGATGTATCCAAAATGTGTTAAAAAATTAAAAATCACACAAGTTGAATAAACTTCAAAATTTATTTTCAGGATTCTTAAGTGAACAATTTCATCTGGAGGGAAGGGGATACAGCTTGTAATTTTTTAACAATGGACTTGTCAGGGGTGCCTCTCTTTTATGGACTTCTACCTTTCACGGTAGAAAAGGAAAAAAAGGAAAGGGCTTTGGGAAGCAAGGACACACAGTGTTCTCTGCACAACCACCCCTGGAACTTGGATTTATTTTCCTTCACCCAGAGTGCTTCCACTCACCATTTAGTCCTATGCACATTTGGGTTACCTACAGAAGTTTTTCTCCAGTGAACACATTGCCAGCAATTAGCCTTAGTCCAGGAGACAGGAAAGATCTACCCAGAATCCCTTCCTCCTCCCAGGTGTCACTTCCACATTCATTACAATCAGACTTTCTTAATTAGAACACAGCATGAAATGGCAGCTTGCAAATATAGAGCAATACTGCAGTCACCCGGCTCCTGCTATTTGTTGAATGTCTCCTAAGAAATATTCAGTGCCCTGTACTCCTGAAATTGAGTACACTCACAGAGGCAGGGTCGGGTTGCCTGCTAACTCCCCTGGGTATATGTTACCAGAAGGATGAAAGAAAGCTATTGGTTTTCCTTTATGTTCTCTTATTTCTCCTCATTTTGAAATGAACTTTTAGCTCCAATGAGTTCAACAAAATCAAGCCATTGATTTGAAAGAAAGCTAGTGAGACTTTGACCTGCATTCTTGCAGTATCTATATCCCATATTGTCTTTTGCAGTGTCAGACTCTGTTCTGACCCTGGCCGCTGCAACATGTGAACATTTTATAATACATGGACTTTTCCCTATCAAGTAATTCAAGTTGTGATGCCTGGCTGTGAGATACTGCTTGTATTTTATTACTGACAGTACATTTAACTGGTCTCTTTCCTCTAGGTGTGATTGCTGCAGTGGTATTTGTCCTCATTTGCCTGCTGGTGGTGATGGTCCGGTACATGTACAGGCATAAGGGCACCTACCACACCAATGAGGCAAAAGGAACTGAGTTTGCTGAAAGCGCAGATGCTGCTTTGAAAAATGACCCCGCTCTCCAGGAAGCAGTGGATGAGAGCAAAAAGGAATATTTCATCTGAGAGGCAAGGATTTCCATGGAGACTTCCCCAAGGGAATCAATCAGAAATGCTACATCAACAGAAGTGCTAAGAGATGGGTAATATGAGGATACAGGCAAGCATCCTAATTGAAAAGTATCACTTTACTTTTTTTGTCACTGGGTTGTTTCTTTTCCTCTACCGGTGAAGAACTAAATGCCAGATACTTGCCTGTTGATTTTGTTAGCAACACAGCTGGTCACAGTTGAAACCAATATCAGATAAGAAGAAACAAAATCTCAGTATGAGTGATACACCAAAACCAGATAAAGATAGCAAATGTCAAGCCTTGACATTTGGTGAAAATAGCAGATGCCAATGGAAAACATCCTCTTAGAGTTAATGATGCATCCTATGCTGATATGATACAGAACTACCTGAAATTGAATTTCAGACAGTCACAGAACAAACATTAAACTACATAAAGCTGATGTAGCTGGAACAAAAATAGCTTTGTAGCCCGGATACCTGCCCCCTCCCCTAAATGTGCAATTTTGCTGGCACAGGGGAGTTTGTTTTGTTTGTTTGGGGATTTGGATTGGGATTTTTTTTATTTTTTTGAATGTTATATATATATAGAAGTCAAAGACATTTCAAAGAAATAACACTGTTGGAAAACATGGAAAATGTAAGAATGAAGGATTTATTTCTAACTTGCTCTGCATGGCAGCTTGAGAACTGCAAAATGTTGGAATTTACAATGTAGTATATGATAGTCAGTAGACTTACAAATATGATTCCAATTAGTTGGTAGGTTCCTTGCATGCATGCATAAATAGATAGATATTAAAAGGTAAATCATCTTGGTTTGAGCAGGCTTTTTGGGATAGGAAGGAGCTCAGCTAGATTTTTTCATGTAAGATATTTTTGCCTGAGTATTTATTTATTTATTTTGCATTGGAAAATTCTCTTGAATGCCTGCCAGCAGGATTTTGGATTTTTGCAGGGAGAGGAATTCAGGTCTGGTGCAGATACTGATAAACCATAAGACTGCCATTGTAAAGAAGCTTGCTCATCTGCAGCCACGGGCATGTATTGATGTCTTCCTCTGTATGGCCTCTGTATAGCCTTTGCATTGTGCTAGGTAAGAGAATTACACAACCATCGATGTTTTATTATAAATAAATAAATAGATTAGTCATGGTGGGTCACATGAAAAGATCTTATTCCTTGCCGAAGAATTGACAGTGATGAGTTTCTTTACCCAAGTAAGCTGGCTTCCTAATTGAAACCCACAATTAGCTCCGGAAATAGGATAATTGTTCTCTGCACCTGCTCATCCCCAGCTGCGATGGTGCCCTGGACTACTGAAAATAGAGGGGGAGAAATACACGATAACAATTAAGACACTGATGCGCTCTGCTCAACTCGATATGTTTTTTCCTGTGTTTTGATCTATATATGTGTGTACATATATATAAAGTCATCTACAACCGTGCTTTCAAGACATTTTTGCTGATCACTTGTGCGCACTTCTTGGCACCAAAGCTTGGAAAGCTCCTGGACTCCAGTGTTCATTATCAACATTGGCCACAAAAATGCTGTAAGAGAAGACAGATCTGAACAAGAAAAGACTCTGAGACCCAAGAAAAGACCCAAGTGGAGAAACGGGATATTTTTGTCTTTTCAATCACAATCTCAGTCTTTTCTCAGTATCTGAAGGAGATGGACTCTGAGTTATTCTTAGAAGCCCGATAGCTTTGATTTTGAATCTTAAATCCCCACATGTTTGCATTTTAACCAAAGAATATCAAAATCATGCCAAATTTACTAAATGTTTAAGATATTTTTTGTAACGTACCATTGCACAACCACATTGTATTCTGTGGCTAGTGCAGCATAAAATGCACAAAACCCAGCACTAGCAGAGCTCAAATATTTTTATATTATGCACCTCACTGTTTCCTTCTAAGATACATTACTATTTTAATCTTTTTACTACTTTTGAAAAACAAAACTGGTTTTATTTTTCTAGGACAAGTGTTGGAGAAATTCACTAATCTTAGCTGTAAGACTGAGTTTGTAAAACTGAAGACCCCTGACCCTCCAGTTCAATGAAAATGTAAATATTTCCTCTGAGGAAAGGGTAAATGGGGTGACTTGAGCTCTGCTGCATCTCTCACACAAGGCACGGAAACACCAAAAAACTTTCCTCCAGTGCTAGCAGGACCTATAGAGGACTACCAGCCTTTTGTCCCCTTTCATATACTCAGAACCATGTAATCTAAGTTTGGCTGTTAAAGAAAATTGACTTTAGAGGAAGGCGTGAGGGACATGGGGAATAAATTCCTGCCTCCCTCCCCTGTCATGAAATTCTGTTTTTTGCAACTTGAGCCTGCTGATTATAATTAGACAACTGTCATATCTGATACACAGGAGAACCTGAATTAGTGTCTCTTTTGGAGTGTGTGTGAGGTTTTTAATTATGAGGTGGACTGAGAGAGACTAGCTGTCCACGTTGGAACTATAGGCCAGATTTTCTGGTGGTACAACATGAGTTCAGTGGAGCTCAGCCAATTCTTACCAGTTAAGTCAACACCAGACTTTGTGTCATTGCTTCCCCTAAATCTGAACTGAATGCAACTACTGGTCTTTGACTATATCCCGTCTTTGTAACTTAATTAAATCTCTGTATCCCATTTTCCTATTCATCTAGGCTGACAGTCCAGGCATACAGCAACAGCTTCCCTATTGGTAATGGGCCGCTTTGAATATTTGCAGAGCAGTGACCCTGGCAAGAGCTATGGTTTCAGTTAGTTCATTTTTTTACAGTGTCCATTTGGATTTCAGGGCTTTGTGTATTTAGAAATTACTCAAGCACACTGAAGAGAAAGAAGAGATGGTTTGTGGAGATTTTCTGTTTGTTTTTTTCAGGACAAATTTTGCTTTGTAATGAAGAAAGCTCATGACATCTCATGACTGGCAGACTCTAATGGCCTGATCCTGCTATTTTTTACTCATACAATAACTCTACTGTCTCGAGTCATTCAATTTAGTTGTAAAAAGAGTGCATTACAAACTTCCTAAAACTTTTAGGACTAATTAGCCAAACATCCTTTTGCAAGCAACATGCTGTGCTAAAACAAACATTATGTACAATGCTGAGACGTCTTGGTTGGCCACCATAGCTTTTCATCACTGACGATTAAATGATTTTTATAATTTACTTCCTGAACAGGAGAATTAAGGAAACAGTTTCTTTTTCCCCCACATACTTTTATCCCAGGTCCCTTCACTGCTGTGGCCTGTTGTTCTGCAGGTTTCTGGTGCCCCATCTCCCCAACTGTGACTGCCATTCTTGCTTGCAGTCCCCCAGGCTCCCTTCTGGATCCCTACTGCCTTCCCTATGGCAAAGGATTGGCCATTTACTTATGTATTTATTTATTTTTATCAGTGAAGGTACTCTGTCCCTCTCTGCCAGCCAAGAACCAATTTTCACAAAGGTTTTAGCTTTGGACTTCCAATCCTGTGTCAAATTTGATCAAACCTGACCAACCTGACCTGAGACTGATTTACAAAGTGATCACATATGCCACGTTTTCACAGAAAACAAGTCTAAAAATAGTACTGCAAGCTCTCTAGTTAGTTAAATTTAGTGCTATAAATCTCTAGTGTTCACTAAACAAGGGAGCAGAATGACGATCCCTCAAGCAACTCAGTTTTGTCCTGATGACTTAATGCCCTGTGAAAGCTTGTTGAATCCCACTTTGCACAGAAAGCCACTGGCCCATGTTTAGAAGCATAAGTCATTTTCAATGATGTACGGGAAAGCTGTGCATCAAAATGACCAATATTTGCTGGAGTTGGAAGAGAGAGGATAAATATGGTCTTGTAGGAACACAAGACATTTTTTAAGGATATATGGGAATGGCAAGAGTTAAACATAATATTTCTGATTACATTGGTGAGCTTTAAGAGTGCATCCACAGAGCTTTCAAATTCTCAATGAAAAAAATAATTGTTTGCAAAAAGAAACGAATCTCCTTTTAAACCATCTCTTCTTGTCAAGCTTTGAACACAGGCTTCACAGATTCAATATTCTACCATTCTGCCTTAATATCTGGAACTCATTTTCTTCTAATTTTTGGAGGATACCTGTACAGTCCTTCCCTGCACAAAAATGACTGCTTGCCAGTGTCAGCCCCTGTAGTAGCATTACAGCTCAAGCAAAGTAATTCTATCCAAAAGCAGTCAGTCCCAAATGTGTATCTGGCCACCCATTACTGGAACTGGTGCGCATTTTTTTCTGGGGCTTGGCCTCTATCACTCCAGGTTTTCCTGAGGTCCAATGTGCCATTGCACATTAATGCAGTTCCAAGGAATATTTAATCAGCCACTAGTCAAGATAACTATATTTTTTTTTTCTTTTTAGGACAACAGGACCAAATCTCTTTGGGAGGGCTATTAAAAATAGTACCATAGGATCCCTCAGAATATCAACATCGATTTTTCTCTTAAATCAAATCTAGGGATCATTGGGGGAACACCAGGACAGGAAAATAAAAAAAACTGTTCCCTTTCAGCAAAGAATGCAGACAACGTGCTGAAACATTTATAGCTGCAGGATAAGTAGGATGGCAACACTAGCTACAGCCTGCAAGGATTCCTCACAGAATACAGAAAATGCTCAGACAAGATGTAAATCAGTAAAAAGATACAGAGCGGGAGAAGATAATTAGATGCCAATAGAGATGGAGGGCAGTTTTTCATCAAATAAAATAGATATTGCCATTTGGAGAAATCAAAGTGTATTTGCTGAAGGTAACTGCTGCCAACAAATTTCTTTGAATTATATGAGGTGTTTGAATTCCTTGCATGTGCCAGTCCAATCAAAAAATGCTGGTAAATACACACCAAAAGAGTACTCACATTAAATGTATTAAGAGCTGTTTATTGCATTTTCTGAAATCTCTCAGTTCTTCACATAAAAAAACTTTGTGTGTTTAGAAAATGCAGAAGCTTCACAGCAGCAGTTCATATATGACAGAAAACTAAAGAACCACTGAACAAGCAATGAACACACATCTGATATCTAGAAATTCAGGTAGTTAATAAAGGAAGCTAATGATATCAAAGAAAAACATATATGGTGAGTAAAAATTTCAACCATATTACAAAGAAATGAAAAAGTTGTAGTAGTAGAAGTCCTTCTCCAGTTCAAGAAGGTAATATTGTCAGTGACTGGAAATAAGGAACCTTTATTCTACACAACTGTTTCCTGTGTGGTGGGATAAAATCCCCCTGAATTCAGTGGGACAAGAATTTCACTGACTATATTTATCCTTTCTGCAAAAAATTGTATTCTCACCCATTTCAGAAAGAAACACACTAAATTAAAGTAGAAATCTTTAGAAGGGCTGATCTTTCAGCCATAACCTCGTGTCTTCACACCATTTTTCTGTTGTTTCAAATTGTAGGTATGGTGGAAAGTATCTGATATGTTGTATTAAAGTCTATTTGAATTGCATCGCTATGACAA